TGGGGTCTGGCCCTCTGTCCGGGGACTATCCCACTGTTTACTTTTCATGAACCATTAGCAGCATTTCTCTCATTAGCAGCTTAAAAGAGCCCATGAGACTTGGATATTATTTGGAGGTTTGAAGGAGAGGATGGAAACTTAGATTTTAACTGTGTGTGAAGGCCCAGCCTCTGCCAAGCACTTCACCTTCTACAGCCCAGGAGGTAACTAGTAGTGTGTCCATATTACTGATGAGGAAACGGGGGAGAGAGATGCTCGCATCACCAACCTAGTGAGAACTTGAATCAAAACTCACCTGATTCTGAAATGTATGTTCTTTTCATTACGTAACACAGTGGGATGGAGCCAGGTGCTGTTTTTCTCTGGCGAGGGTGTTGATCTGCCAGTGTTGATGGGTACATGTACGCTCAGCATGTGAAATTTCAGCTTTAGGATTTGAATATCCCATAGGATTTTGACATAATCTGTAAGAATGATTGGTTGACCCTATCCTTCCCCATCAATAGGACCCCAAAGACCATTCATCAGATTTTTCTTCTTCCCTTCCTTATCTCCTAGAAATGTTCAGGTCTTAAAGAAGCCATGTAGTGCACTGATAATGAAGATAAAAATAATACTTAATAGCCACTGTTTACTAAAACTATATGTGTGCTAGGTGTCTTATCACATACTCTATATACATAATCTAATTTGATGATTATAAATTTTATAGGGTCATGTATTTTACAAACTTGGGGACTTTCGTTGTCTAAGGTTACATAGTATGCTAGGGAGCCTCACGTTTGGGCTTTGAATGTAGAAGTTCTGTTTGACTGTAACCATTACACAGTCCTGCCTCCTCATTGCTGCTTACTCCATGGCCTCCCATAATCCTGAGCATGTGTTCTCTTATGCTAATATCTGTGTGCTTGCATGAGTTTTAAATTTCCGTATCAGTAATTTCATATGTCTAAGAGTAATGGAGAAACCTGGAAACAGTGACTTAAATCATATACAAGGAATTCCTTAGGAGGTCTGTTCGGGGTTGGTATGGTGATTCCACAGCATCCTCAGGAGCTCCTTCTAAGTCTTCACTCTAGTGGATAGCCCTCACTTTTATGCTGACAGAATGGCTGCAGGGGCTCCAGTCATTATTGGACATGAAGTTGTGTTCTGAACTTGAGGAAGTTGAGGTGTGAATGCAGAAGCAAAAGGAACAAGACAGTCAAGTGTCTTTTCCTCTTTTAAAGATCTTTTCTGGAAACTCTACCCAGCACTCTCTGTGTATCTATCACTGGTTTGGATTGGGTCACTCTTGGTTATAAGAGAGACTGGGAAATGTACTTCAATTTTTAGGTGGGTGCATTGTTGCAGTGAACAAAATCAGGGCTTATTAACATGGAACCCAACCTGCTAATTTCTTGAAATAAGTTAAATAAATTCATCTAGTATCATTCTTCCCCAGGGACTGACTATCTAGGGGAAACTTGGTTTGTTCTAGAGGCTGAGAATATCTTGAGTAGATGAAAAAGTTTGTTCAGTAGAAGTTTTAACCAGGTAGACTATGTCTTAAGTATTCGAGAGTTGTCAAGATTCAGCTTGACCCAACCCAAGGAAAGGGGAGGTAAGATCCAGAAGTGTAACCTGGTGATTTGAACCTAACTCCACTTAGACCAAGACTAGTAGGGGGAAAGCAGAGGAATCCTAGATTCTAAATATACCCTAGGCATTAATAGTTAAGGTCGTGCCACTTGTAAGATTTTACTTCATCAATATCTTCTGTGGATATAAAAGCAATTCTTTCATATTTGTGTTGGCTGGGGGAGGTGCAGTCGAGGCAGAGTTAATTGGGAAACAGAATCAGGAAATAAGTACAATCAGACAGTGATGGGCTTTGATGATGGGAGTTGCAATCCCAGCTGTACCACTTGCAAGTCCTGTGACCTGGGACCTTGGAGAAGTCACCTAACCTTTCTAACTCTCCTATTTCTTATTAAAAAGAAAGAAAGAAAAGAAAAGAAATTGACGAAATCTTCCTCACATGCTTCTTGTAACAACTAACAGCAACGTAGAGCCCAGTGTCTGTCGCAAGCTGGTAAGCCTGCTGTTGGTACTGTCACATTGCAGGTGTCGTCCATCAGCAGGGGCTGGCTGTATACCTGCTGTGAGCCCCTCTGGACTGGAGAGGGGGGCAAGGTCCTGGTTTCTTCTGGGAGAGGGGTGGAGAAGGTAATTTCCAATGCAGCAATCACAAGGAAATGTCCTGAGCTCTTGTCAACTAAGGCAGGAAGCCTGCTGGGTCAACTAAACTGCAGGTTTCAAATGCTCATCTGGGGCCTCCTAAAGAAAGCTCATGATGGAAGGTTTAATTTCTGCCAAGTTTTACCTTCCCTATATATAAAATGAAGATAAGCATAACGCCTACCTCCCAGGTTGTTGTGAGGATAACACCAGTAGAACCCCTGGGCGCATGATATGTACCCGATAGATATTCTCTATTATTAATGATGTTTCTTCCCTCCCTCTTCAACCAAGCAAGAGCAGGGCTCGTTGGTCTCAGTTTTGTCTGGTTGTCTCAGCTTCAGTAATCCCGTAAAAACTCCCAACTAGGGCATAAAGTACACATATAATCACACTGGACCCCAAAAGATACTGTGATAATGTGATTAATAATGAGTTCTTGGATGGCAGTAGTGTTTTATTTTTTTATTTTATTTTATTTTTTTAAGATTTTATTTATTTATTTGACAGAGAGACGCACAGCGAGAGAGAGAACACAAGCAGAGGGAGTGGGAGAGGGAGAAGCAGGCTTCCCGCGGAGCAGGGAGCCCGTTGCGGGGCTCGATCCCAGGGCCCTGGGACCATGACCTGAGCCGAAGGCAGACGCTTAACGGCTGAGCCACCCAGGCGCCCCTGCACTAGTGTTTTAGAGAGCTGCCATGGACTTGTAAATTCCATTGGCTTCCGTGCTTATGAAAGTGAGACTGACAGCTCATTGCCCAGGGCAGCAAACACACAATCCGCCTGTGTTTACCGTCCAAGTTCTTTAAATAGCTCTGTGTCCCAGGTCAGAACTTCACTGTCGCCATTTTTCTGCCAGTGACACAGGCTGGGGGTTGGGGTGACATACGTTCTTGCTGCTCATTTCTGAAATGGGAACAGGCTTGACTAGGAACTGGCGGGGGGGGGGGGAGGATCAAAGAACAACCCATGTTCTTGGAAACAATACACTGGCACAACATCCATTATCATCACCACCACCTTGCTCCACGTTTGTGACAACTTCTATCCTTTCAAAGCACTTTCCCATGAGTCATGTCATTTGATCCTCTCCAAAACCTATGGAGATGGACAAGGAGACGTCATTAACATTTTTTAGTTAAAAAAATCGAGGCTCAGGGCGCCTGGGTGGCTCAGTTGGTTAAGCGACTGCCTTCGGGTCAGGTCATGGTCCCGGAGTCCTGGGATCGAGGCCCACATCGGGCTCCCGGCTCGGTGGGGAGCCTGCTTCTCCCTCTGACCCTCTCCCCTCTCATGTTGTTTCTCTCTCTCCCAAATAAATAAATAAATAAAATCTTTAAAAAAAAAAAAATCGAGGCTCAGATAGGTAAAGTGACTTGCTCCTGATTGGCACAGGCTGGACTTGAACCCAAATCTTCTGTCCTCAGACCCAAACCTTCCCTATGTGACTGTATGTTCCTGCTAGCCTGTTTCCTTACCTAGGTCTGGAAGAAAACAGCATTTATGTATCTTTGTATCTACCCTTCTAGAAGTCTGGATTCCACTAAGATAGAAGAGGTTGGTGCATCATAGCTTACGGCCTAGGCAGAGCAGAGTGTTCCCTTAGGTTTGGTTAGGGTTCACTTCCTGGGGCCTGCACCAGAGGATTCTCTCCAAGTGGAATCCACCACAGGGCAGGCAGAGGGCTTTCCCCACATACAGAAGATCTTTGCTATAAACCCTGCTCCAGCCCCACCCCATCCTCCTCTCCTGGGCCCGAAATTCCACCATTTGGAACCTTGAAGACTAACTGGCCTTAAAGAGATTCCAATTAAAATAGGAATTCTTTCACTATACATACAGCTTATATTAAAACAAACAAACTTAGGATACTGTTTTGGGCAGGGGGTGGTCACAAAACCTGGCTCCTTCCATTGTCCTCGTCCATGAAACATGAACCAGAAGAGGCATTGTAAAGATCCCATGATATGTAGGTAAGAGGACTATAAAAATATAAGTGGCCCAGATAGCAGGGAAGAAGAGGATGGCTGGGGTGCTGGTCTGGGAAGGAGGAGAGAAGTAGACACAGCTAGAGCTCGGAGCGCTGGCTCTGATTCCCAGAAGCTCTGCATTGGGAAGGCACGAAGGCAGTCTGGCTGATGTCATGGTCTGGTCCAGGACTGGACCTTTTGCGGCCTCCAGAGCCATTTGGGTTGCTTTGACCTCCAGCCATCTGTGTCTGGGAATGTAAAACAAATGGTTAATGGCATCAGATGGTATATGATCTCAAATGTCCCCCCCTGCTTACTGCCATAAGAAGGAAAAGAGGCCCCTGGAGAAATTATCAAGGATGCTATTTTCAAAGTTGCAATTAATTGTGTGCTGGGGAAAGCTCATCCTCTGCCAGTTATTCTGTCGAGAAAGGGGAAATTAAGGGTGATGGAGCTGTGACTGAGAGGCCAGTTTGAATCCTCCTTATAAGGTCAAAGAAGCAGACACAGAGCCCATATTCAACCCCAGGGATCCTGGAAAAAAAGATGTGAGGGTCATGTGGTGGGGTGCGTCAGGAGCTGACTTCCTTTAGGCGAAATAGGCGCCTAGGGATAGGTCTTGACTGTCTGACCTTCGACTTCACAGTTGCACGGGGGACTGTCCTTAGGTTACTTTTTCACAACGCCTTACGTCCACTGTGGCTTGAGCCAAACATGTCCCCGTCCTCTCTTTGGGACCCCTCTGTGTGGCCGTGTCCTCTTATTTCACTCTGCAAACTTTCTCTCTTATTTCCCTTCTCTTTCTTCCAGCCAGTGAGACCTGCAACGACTTCCACCCAATGTTCTTCACCCACGACAGATCGTTCGAGGAATTTTTCTGCATCTGTATCCAGCTCCTGAACAAGACGTGGAAGGAAATGAGGGCAACTTCTGAAGACTTCAACAAGGTAAGGTTGAATCTGAGGCAGAGGCAGCAGCTTACTGTGTCCCCAAAAGAGCCCCCCCCCTGCGTGGTCCCTTGGCTATCATACTCGTATGGACCTGAGCTGTGTGTTAGTGATGCTTTCATCTCTGCTGGGATAGGCCTGGAGCAGTCTTGTTCCTTTTGGCTAACTAAACTGGAGCCACCAGCAGAGACCCTTTCTTGAAAAATATTGTCTAGATTAACTTTTTCCTTTAAGGGCATTAGTCTGGGATGCCGTGTTATGGCAACATCCCCTGGGGAAAAGGCCTCCCCTCCACCGGTGTGCAGGCGGCTGTTAGAAAAAGAATGAGATCAGGAAGGCTGCTCTGTCTAGGTGACTTGGTTTCTTCGCAGATTATGGATGTGTTGAGATAATCAGCCCTTTGTTGTGTCAAAAAGGGTTTTTATTCAAATGCAAAATCTCTTTCAGGGAGTTGAGTAAGTTTATATGGAACTTTTTTTTTTTTTTTTAGTTTACAGAAAGCATTTGATTCTTTGAACGGATGCCTTCTTTGGTTTTCTGTAAGAGCGCAAATTTTATGTTTCTCTTTGTGAGTGAATGTTGGGTGCTGAGAAGAGTGTTGACCAACTTAGAGGAAGCAGAAGTATCATATGAACTTTTCAAGAGAAACAAAATCTTTATCCTTAGATAAAGGCCTTGTTAACAATCATCACATGGCTAGTAATAACTGATGATTGGGACAGGTGTATTTAGGAGAGGTATATTGGGAGAGGCCTTCAGTCCCTTTCATTTGCTACTATTGCTGGATCTGGGTTTGACTGGTTCTGTCACCCATGCCTGCTGACCTGGTCCTGGGGACGTAACTGTTGTTAAGATTCTAAGGGTCCGATCTCACTGTTGTCCTGTGGGACCTTCACAGCTGGTGAACAGATCAAATTTCTCCTTGGTTTGTGCCTCCCTGTCACCTTTCCTCTGAACTTCTTTTCCATCCATCCTTCTTTTCCACCATATTTCTGGTTCGTGGCATCTTGAAGTGATATTGGTGGAAAGGAAAGAAAACGAGGAAAAGGAAATAATACTCTTTGCCAAACCTCCGTTAGGTCTCCATCAGCATGATGATCTTCTCTGCAGTTGAAGCAGACAAAGCTGTCTTAGTCGCCTTGGGCCATCTATTTAATTCATTGAAATAGGCCCCAGCGATGCCCCTCTGTGGAGAGCCCTGATTCTGCCAGCTAGAATCTAGAGCTGCCACGGGTCTAAGCAGCTATGCCCAGGGACAGGCATGACTGAAGAAGGGAAGTGGAGGAAAGAAATCCAGTAATTCTGCAGCCTCCTAAGTGTACTTCACTTGATTATGAGGGACTTGGCAATTGAGGTGCAAATCATCCCTGGGAAAGAGGAATAAAGGAGCAGGGAGACCTTTGTACAATCAAGCCAAAAAAAGGGGAGAGTTAAGTAGTCTCTGAAATGGCCAAGGCCACTTTGCCCCGGATCAGATCAACTCTTCAGGTACTACAGTGTTTCTGAAAGCCGTCCAGTACTCGGCTCCTGTGTACATGGGACACCTGTTCTTTCAGGAGAAGGGAACCTCTCTGGCTGTCATGTGCTCTGGCATCAGGTATCTGTCTGCCTTCTGAGAGGATTTCACTCACCTTTCTTCTTCTGAGTTACAGAAATCAGCATTTTTGTAAATGATAATAATGCAAATATTTTTGTTGTTCATCTATGCACAGATAAGGTATGTAGAAAATATTACCAAATTCCTGCAGAGGAATGGCTCAAGAGGCTTAGCACTTAGACACTTAAATCCTACAGAACATACAGTTTACGAAACGAAGTCCCAAGAATGCATTGTTAGCAAAGGGAACCAGAGGCCTCAGTCTGGAGTTGGTGAGCGTGGCCATTGGATCTGTGTGGTTCATCACGACCAGCTACTTGGGTCAGTGGTAATGATATCCTGCCTGTGCAGGGTGAGGTCCCCCAAGTGTCACTCTGAAACTCTTTTCATATTTAACTTATGTGGCTGTAAAAACTGCCTTTGGCAAGACCTAAGGGCCAGGATTGGGGAACATGATAAGTGTCCCTAGTGGCATCTTATTGTGGCCCTAGTGCCATCTTTTTGCATTGTCTACTGATCATAGATGTCAGTCTGGTGTCACGTACATGCGACCAAATAGTGATGGTGGTTTATGGCTGTGAAGAGGCAGTCAGAAGCCTGAGAGGCAGAGGGTCCCATCCTGTGTACACATATCCCTTGGTCAAGAGTGGATAACAGAGGAGGGCCAGGGATGGGAATGACAAGTGCTTTAAGTTTTCTACGTGAAATAGTTTTGTTTTGTTTGCTTTTTTTCTTTTTAGTATTATGCACACCTTACTTCTGGAACAGAAAAGTCTATCAGTTATACAGTATTTTATCATGTGTGTGCTAGTTTTGTAGGGTTGCTGTCACAAATTACCACAGACTCTGTAGCTTAAATAGTACAAAGGTACTCTCCTACAGTTACATTGCTCAGAAACCAGAAATGGGATTCATGGGTTAAAATCAAGGAGTCAGCAGAGCTGTGATCTTTTTTGGCCACTCTAGTGGGGGCATCCATCTCCTTGCCTTCCAGGTTCTAGAAGCCACCTGCGTTCCTTGGCTCGTGGCCCTTTTTATCTTCAAAGCCAGCCAACAGGTCATGTCCTTCTCATGTCACACCTCATCACTCTGATCCCTCTTTGGCTTGGATCTTTCACTCTTTTAGTTACCCCTGTGATTACACTGGACCGCCTGGATAATCCAGGATAATCTTCCCTATTTTAAGGTCAGCCGGTTAGGAATCTCAATTCCATCTGCAACCTGAATTCCCCTTTGTCATATAACATAACATAGACACAGATTCTGGGCATTGGAATGTAGACATCAATGAGGGGGGTGCATTTTTCTGCCTACCATAATGTATATTTAATTTGTAGGTGTATTACATTTGTATCTGTATTAGTGTGTATCAATTTAAAGTATTGAAATGTGGACAGATGAGCTTTTCGTTGTTGTTTTATTTGCTGGTAGACCAGCATCATACCAGTCAGAGTTCTGCTAGTGGTCACTCCAACACAGATTTAACTACGTCCTTTTTCTTTTATGTCCCTATTCTGCCTCTAACAGGCTTTTGAAAAAAGATGGGCCCTGTATGCGGGCCTCTAGGTCAGTTCTTCCTGATTTTTTTCCTGCTGCTTGTCTATCAGCCACTGCTCTGCTTTGCCAGATAATAAATTGGAAAGGAGAGAAGAAGAGCCAAAATTTTCATCAGTTCATTTTTCTTCTTGTTATTAACTTGGTAGCAGAAGCTATTGAATTTAGGAACAAACGTGGATTCGGTGTTATTGGTAGATTTAATGTTTTTCTTGTTTCCAAAGATTGTCCAAATTCGAATTCAGAATATCTTAAAAGAGCCCAACATGAGACACACTTTCTTTTGAACTTTCTTGGACACCATCTCAGACTGTCGCCACTCTGAACAGAAGCATGGGTGGCGGGTTTGCTTGTCGACCTACGGCCCGGGTTCTGTAAGAAGGGGCTTAGCTATCTGCCTCCTTCAGCTCATTACTGGAGAAGCAGTATCCCTCAATCCAAAATTCTGATTTTACAAATAATAACTAGATTCCAGCAGGTGCAGGAATTTCTTCTACAACCCACCTTGTTTGGGACACTAGTTTGTAGATATCTAGTACTTGGTAGTTAATGCTTCTGCCGGAAGTGAATGTTTGGAAAAGCAGCTGCTTTCTTGCTGCTCCAGGCTGAGGAAGCTGAAGATGGGATGTTTCTTATTTATGTGAAAGAAGTAGAATTAGAGAGTGATTAAAGTATTTATACTTTGAAAAGTACTTTCTTCCAGTTTCCCGATGTAGCAGTCTCTGCAGAATAATCCATGGATTCAGGCCATTGAGTTTGTGTTCTGTTTTTGCCTTTTGTTACCAATATTTTAAAGCATGCATTATTCATTTTTATGGGCATTAGAGAAGAGCTTAAACTGCAGCTGGATACCTCAGCACACAAGTGGCCCCATAATCATTTCACTAAGCCCTCATTTTTTAAGCAGGGTAAGAAAGAAGACACAAGTGATTTGGGTAGTTCAGGTATGGGAATCTCATTTAAAGCTTTTATCACAGACCATGCCACTTTAGAAATTCTAACAAGGGTATACACATCAAAATCGATATTTGTGTGTAGTAGTGTTTCTCAACCTTATCAACCTTGCCCGAACCTTAGAATCACCTGGGGGGCTTTGGAAACCTCTGTCATCCCAGTGCCCAATTGTACAACATACCAATTACTTCTTTGGGGTGGGGCCAAAGCTCTCATGAAGATTTTTCATGAAGGCAGATTTGATCACTAAAGGTGAATCACATCCATAGCGTGATCATCAGTTGATACGTTTAACACAGACCACCAACTAGTATGAATTGTGTGCATCAGTGAAGTAGTCCGTCCATTGGTTTGTAAGGCCCAGGTTCTAACCCTGGTTCTGCTACTCAGGAACAATATTCCTTGAATATTAAAAAAAAAAAAGTGGATACCAGTATCCCATTGCCCTCTTTTATGGTGGTATGATACTAAATTGAAGTAATAAATGTGAAAATGCTTTGAGGAAGTAAAATGTCATATGTGTTTGTATTCTTTTTGTACATAATAAGATAAATCCTGTCTATGAAAAATGAGTAAATTGCCCTTTTCAAAAGAAAACATTTTTTTTGGCTATTATGTTAAAAAACAAAGGAAGGAAGGAAGGAAGGAAGGAAGGAAGGAAGGAAGGAAGAAAGGAAGAAAGAAAAGAAAGAAAGAAAGAAAGAAAGAAAGAAAGAAAAAAGAAAGAAAAAAGAAAGAATAAAGAAAAAGAAAGGAGGGAGGGAGGAAGGAAGGAAGGAAAGAAAGAAAAAGAAAGAAAGAAAGAGAAAGAAAGAAAGAAAAAGTGAAGCTGCTTATGTACCACAGATTAAGTGCTGAATTGAATGAACTCATTTAACTTTGGCAGAAATAGGGT